AGGGCCCAGCATGCTGGGACAACACCGTGTGACTACAGAGACCTGGGACAGGGTCAGCTGGAAATAGCTGTCCTGTTTGATGGCCTTTAAAACTCCTTAGAGATCATCTCCATTGTTCAGACGCCTTCCCGTTCTTCAGGTGAAAATGAGGCTAGAGCTACTAAGGTCTGAAACTTCACATATAAAGGTGCTAAGGAGGCCCAGTCTCTGTCCCCCAGCACTGTCAGGCTGTCACTTGACTGTCCTTCTGTAGAAGTCACAGTGGGAGCTCATTATTTCATACGTAGATGCTATTGGTGGAAATTCTGTTTTGTGTTCGTTGGAAATTACAGTTTGGTGAAGTCAATGGTCTAGCAAGATTGAACTTACTAGGAACTTTTTTTTTCTTTTCTCTGCTGTGTAGGTTATAATGGAAGACCAAATGTAGAAGAGAACATACCCCCTGGTAGTATTGGAAAACCAAACGGACAAAGAATTATCAATGGTCCTCAAGGAACAAAGTGGGTAAGGTAAACTTCTTCACACGCTCAAGGTGTTCTTATGCTGTTGGGAAGAGAAAAATCATAGATGCTGTGTGCCAGTAAATCAAGTAGTCTGCCCCTTCCCCTCCCTTCTCCTCCCCTCCTCTCTCTTCTCTCCTACCCTTCCCTCTCTTTTCCTTCCCTCCCCTCCCTTCCCCTCTCTTATTGATAAATTTTCCGTGTACTCCAGCTGGCCTCCAACTTGAGATCCTGCTGCTTCGTAGCCTCTCTGGCACTGGGATTATAGAGGTGCCCCATCCTGTCTACCTAATAATTTAACAGCTTAAGAAAGAGGAAAAGTCAAATGTTTCTACTCGGTAAACTGAGGATATCTCTCATGTTCAGCCAATTCACTCCACAATAGAAACTTTCTCTTTTTTCATCTTTAGTTTTAACTACCTTAAATATAATTGCTTTCAATGTCTAGAAAGTCTTTGGTGATCAGTGAGGCTTGGCCTTGGAAAACCTCACTGTGGAATTTTCCATTTGTCCTGATTGACAGGAAGATAAGAGAAATTTGTGGCCTCACCACAGCAGTTACCTAGAGCCTAAGAATGGCTTCTCCTACGTCCCTCCCTGTATTTAATTTTTATTTTTAGTTTAGTGTATAATTTGATGTTGCATGTATTTTCTGTTAGCTGTCTCAAATCCTCTGTAAAAGAGACAGTTAATCCAAAGAAAAAACTCTACACCAAGTAGACAGTTTTATCAGCTAATCCCTTGAATCCAATATTGTCTGACTGAAATTGAAAATATGTCAGAGTGCTTTTTGTTTACACAACAAATATACTAAACTCCTTCCTGGGGCTACGATAAATGTGTAGGGCATTTTTGTGGGTTGAGTGTAGTGAATATCAAACAATATGCAGGGCTTGAAAATATTCTTTGAAAGAACACTCACTGTGGAATTGCCGGTCAAGCTTTCTACTTAAAATGAAAAGGTTTTAAAAAAATATACTGAGGGTCTCTGAAAATTTTCATCACAGATGACCTAAGGATGAGAGTGCCAATCAAAATAGAATTGTTTTATAAATGGTTCCGAATTGAAAAAGGTCTTGACACTACATACCATCCTAGCCAAAGGCTGAGAGTTGGCCAGAGATGATTTTGAAAGTAGGGTCTATAATAAATGTCTCGGGATGATTTTTGCATCACGGGTATGTAGAGATGGGTTTTGGGTGTTTCTCAGCATGGGGTCACTGGGGCCCTGTCAGGCCATTGTGTATCTGAAGTCACTAACAGATGAGGATGCTGCTGGTCCAGGACCACCACAATTAAGGGACTACCATGGAAAAGCATGAGATTCTTCCTCAGAGGGAAAACGAGAAATTTTTAAGTTTTATAATTCCTTAGAATAAGAAATTTCTGTATGTATTCTGTATTTTATAATATTTCAATAAATTAAAATTGTTTAATTCAATAATCAAAATTTTATTTTTAACATAAGTAGCACAGTGAAAACATTTCATATTTTTAAAGCAACTGGTGATATCTGTTCATTTGATCATTAAAGATAAGGAATACTAGAAAAGGAAACAAACATTCTGTACTCCAAACTACTTCTCAGAAGTGACCCCTTGGTGACAACTTGGTGGATACCCTTCCAGAACTTGGGTCTTTGACATTTTCAAGCTTATGTATAAAGTGCATTTTTTTTTTTTTTTTGCAAAATAATCAGTCCTGTTACCTGGGTATGCATGAAGTTAGGTCACTATATACAAGATTCACACATTCCTCTCCTGAATGCTGATGGCCCATTATTTATTTAAGCTCTTCTATCAGTTGAGGGATCCTTAGGTTGGTTCCTGTTCCCAATGTACTAAATGGTTGAAGCAAAATACCTGGGGTGTCTTTTGCATATTTCAGAAGCAAAACAGTTCATATAGGTGAGCAGTTGTGTTACAATGCAAGCAATACAATACAAGATACAATTGCATCTAATTTTGCAAACCTTGCAAACGATAGTGACAAGCTTGCTTTGTCTTGCATCCTTTCTTTTTTCTGTGGATGCTCACATGTCTGGACACATAATTGGGGATGTGAACATTTGGGGCTCCCCAGTACCTCCTTCCATCTGTGTTGTCTTGGTTTAGGTTGTGGACCTGGATCGTGGGTTGGTCTTCAATGCTGAAGGGAGATACCTCCAAGACTCACATGGCAATCCTCTCCGGGTGAGACTCGGGGGAGATGGTCGCACCATCGTGGGTGAGTGAGACTGATTCCTAGGAACAAAAGCTGAGTGAGCTGTGGAATAGCTTAGGTCTTCACCACACACACCACTTGTTTCTAATGGTTGCCCGGGGTCTTGTCACTTTTACCCACGTGGGAAGAAGGTCCCCAAATGGGGCCAGAACACAGCATTTTCCTCATGGCCTTGTGTCACCCTATTTCTTCAGACACTACCCTCTGCAAATATCCTCTAGTTTGTTCTTGAACTTGGCCATTTAGAGCTCAGGTCAGAAAAACAAAGCACACAGGCCAACCTCTGTACGGCCTGATTTGGAAGGCTGTGAGCCCAGAATAGTTCTTACATTTTAAAGCAATTCTTCCTCCGTGCCCCAAAAGAAGAATGTCTTGTGATGTGGTAAAATTATATGAAATTCACATTTCAGTGTCCATACGCAAAAGCTTCGTTGGAATACAGAAACATTTATTTATGTATCCTCTAGCTCATGGCTTGTGTGTTGTTTATGCATTGTCTCTTGTGTGTTTTGCTCTACAAGGGCTGGGTTGAATTGCTCCATCTGGCCTGAAAAGCTTAAAATACTTACTCTCTGGACTTTTGTGGAAATGTTTGTGGGCCCTGGCCCAGTCTAGCATGTTTTCTCCCCCAGGAGCAGAAACAAAGGGCCAAGAACTGCTTCCCTTAACAGACAGTTTTCTCTGGGAATGGTGCACACTGACTTGAGAGTTTATATAGTTCTGTAGTGAGAATGATGGACAGACCCCCAAGCCCACCTCTCTGGATAGCAGCAAATATCACCACTGCAGATGCACAAGCAGCTACTCCCCTGCCTTTCACTGATTAAAGCATAGGCACACATAAGCTTCGAGAAGGCACTCTCTTGTGTTTTCTGGCCCCCGATTGTTTCACCTTGTTGCATATCTCTTGCTTGATGTTATTTCAGATCTGGGAGGAACTCCCATGGTGAGCCCTGATGGCCTCCCCCTCTTTGGGCAGGGGAGACATGGCAAACCTCTGGCCAGTGCCCAGGATAAACCCATCTTGAGTCTTGGAGGGAAGCCCTTGGTGGGTTTGGAGGTTATCAAAACAACTACTCATCCTCCCACCACAACCATGCCACCAACCACAACGATGACCACCACGGTGCCAACCACCACCACCCTTCAACCCACCACCACCCGCCGGACCACCACCACAACCACCCGCCGGACCACCACCACCACCCGCCGCACAACCACCACCAGGTGTCCCACAACTACAGTCCGAGCTACCCGGAGGACAACTACCACCACCACCACTCCAGAACCTACCACCCCTTCTCCTACCTGTCCCCCTGGGACCCTGGAACAACAGGACGAAGCTGGCAACCTTATAATGGGCTCAAATGGGATCCCAGAGTGCTACCCTGAGGAAGGTAACCGGCTTTGTTCTCATCTAGACAACTTACTTGACTAGTATACCGCAAGTCAGAGGTGGGTCTCAGAGCCGGCCAGAGATGGGGGAGTACTAGGCAGAGGAGAATGACGGCCAGACAGAGGCGTCTTGAATACCAGGGACTTTGTTTGGCAACACTGTGATACAGTCAGGGTTGTCAGATTCAGTAACTAAGAAATACAGTGTGAGATGCACCGTATCACATATGTATATATATGGTGTAAACATATATACATTTGTTGTACATCTAAAAATTCAGGGTGTCTTTTGTTTGTCTAACAATTGAAACTTAGTATTATTGGTTTGGGCTATGTTTCCCTAGGTGCTTTCTACTGTGAATTGGTGTGTGTGTGTGTGTGTGTGTGTGTGTGTGTGTGTGTGTGTGTGTACGTGTGTGTACGTGTGTGTATGAGAGAGAGAGAGAGAGAGAGGAAGAAATATTGGTAGTTGGTTCTGTGCTCATGTGATGTATCAGGTCTGTTGGGTTCTGACTGGGTGGCCCATCGGATAACAGTCTCCCTGTGAGCTCCAGGAAAGCCAGCAGCGTGTGCGCTGGTCAGCAACGGTCCTGGGGATCAGCCTTCCCTTTGGCGAGTGCCAGCCTCAGGTGGTGAGGCTTCTCCCGAGAGTACCGGGTTTCCATCAGAAGAACACACTGCTTCTGCTTTGCCATGGATGACTTGGGCTCTCCAGTCACTCCTGACGGCTGCCTGTCTTCCCACCGAGGAACCAGAGCCTCGAAGATCCAGGTCATGGTAGAAGAATACGTCATCCTCCTCCCTTCTCATTCTTCTGTTCAGATTCTCCAGACAGAGCTTTCCTCTGACACTGAGGGGACAGACATGTGCTCTTCCCTTGGGTCGGAATGGCATGGAGGCTGGAAAGCCTGGATCTTTTCTCAGTCTAATGCAGGGAAGGCCCTTCCTCTTAGGATGGATTTACAAGCCAGGAATCCTCACCGAGCGCTGCTGCCTGTGATGAGCCCTGATGACTCTGAGCACGCACACTCTGCTCAGAGTGAGGATCCACTTTCAAGGCACAGTGTGCATGAAAAGGTGCAAAATTAACTGGACAGATCTTAAAAGTCCGCAGCAGAAAGCCAAGAAATAAACACAAACCAAGGGAGAGAGCATTGGGGAGAGAATCCTTATACTCTTCACTTGGTGAGTACAAATCTGAATTTCCTTTTTTTTTTTTTACATTTATGTATTTATGGGGAGGGTGCTGGGCACACATGTACCAGAGCATGTGTATGGAGGACAACTTGTGAGAGTCAATTCTCTCTTTCCACCCCATGGATCCCAGGGATGGGACTCAGGTCATCAGGCTTGGTGGCACGTCCCTTCACCTGCCAAGGCGTCTCTCTGGCCCTTGGATTCACCTTTAACTTTTTAGTATTGAAGTGACTTCTTCCTTCTGCATACATTAGTATGTTTGTTTCTGAAAGTAGAAATATAACTATAGACAATTGCTTAGTAATTGGTTGTAAACAGAAGAATGATTGCCTAGGATTTGATTTCACCACTGCTGTTGGGCATTTTTATTTTGTCTGCATCTTAAAGGCCCTGGAGCATGTTATTTCATTCACACTGTTCTATTCCAGACTTTAATTTGGCATGAAACCCAATAGGTTTCCTTGGCATTAGTGTCAACACTTTTCTTTGCCAATGACAATGCATCCAGCTCTTTTCCCTCGTAACCCTCCTCTGCCTCCTTGGTCCAGCCCAGAGACTAATGTCCCTCTAGGCAGCATTTTGAAATCAAGTGCAAATAAACACACAGTCCTGTGGAAAAAGTTTAATTCGGCGAGAGTGGCACATCTCCCTGCCATTTTCAATGGACTACGCGTTATTTTTAAAATCCTTCAGTGGGAGCTGTATTCTATCTCAGCTGTTTCTAAAACCAGAATGTTCTCTTCCTTGCTTTTATTCTAATCGTAGTTATTTAATATTTTAATTAAAAACCCTCTCACTGAGGTGTGGTTGACGTATAAAGAGCCGTGCATGTTAACGCGATCTGAGGAGTCTGGGGTGAGAAGGCTTGTGTGCACATCCAGTCATCAGGACCATAGATCTGTCCATCACCCCTCAGAGTCCTCTCCCTTGTTGTTAGATTTATTCTCTGTATTTTTTTTCCCTCCATTTCATGTCTTGGAGTTGCTCTTGTTCTCTGTGTCACTAATTTGGTCCCCTGACTGACCTAGCACTCACAGATTCTTACTTCCTGTGTTTTTCACAGTGGGCCCCAGTGGCTTTCTCTGTCCACTCATTTCCAGTTTAACGTGTCCTTATCAAATATGACCCTGAGCCAGGCACAGTGCTTAATGGCCTCTCGGGTAGGAACTTAGTTCCAAAGATGGCTGGAGATGTGAAAACAGCAGAGTCCGATTGCTCTAGAAAAACCTGCTCGCCAACTACATCACGCACACCTCCTTTGTCGACGGAGCGCCCCTGTAATGGCCTCCATTGCGGATGCTCCGTCATCACTAGAGTGGCATTCGGGGCAGAGGTGGTCCCCGTCAGGCCCCAGCATCAGAGGAAGGAAGCCTGTTCCTTGGCCCCCCTTACAGAACCCACAGAAGCACCCGGGTCTCACCCATGCTCTAGCTTTCCCTTTCATGGTCCTTTCATGTCACCTTCTTCGTTGTTAAGTCGAGTTCTGTCGGGAAGGCACACTCACCGTGCCTACACTGTGGCTCCCTCTGCACACAGCTAAAATCAGCCCGACACCAGCCTGTCTGCTGCACTCCCCAGCCTGGGAACCTGAGTGTTTATTGTTGCCATGGTGATGATTTGGAGCCTGCATTGGTGGTCCTGAAGAGTACCAATGGGGGGCTTTTCCAACCCCCTCTCCTCACCCCACTTCAGCTGGACATTCCATTCCGTTTGTAAAGTCCTGGTGTTTTGTTTCAGCTCTGCAGCTTTTAAAGCATCTTTTCAGACATCCAAGTCTTGGCTCCCTTGCTTAAATCATGCCTCCTCCTCTTTTCCTTTGAAAACTGCTTTCAAGAAATGTTCTAGGAATAACCCTGAGCCGTTCAGTCCTGCCAGCAACTCTGTTATTTATGGATACTTCCTCATTTGTTATGGATGCTGTGCTTCCCTGTAGCCACAGATGTACATGACATGCTTGTTTCCTGTGTATTATTACATTTAGCTAGAATTGACTTCTCTGCTCAACAATGAACCCCAGAGCTGAGATAATAGGCTCTCTGTCATGTATCTAATTTCTCAGGGTACCATGTTATCATCTTGAGGCATCTAAACATCTTAAGATGCAAGCATTCTGGGTTTTCTAGCTGGGAAGTAAAAGCCAGTGATCTTTGTTTTCCAGGCTCTTTCTACAGTACATTGGGTGAAATTGCACATATTTGGAAGTACTTTGAGCCAACTGAACATTCGAGAATTTGTAGCGTGACCTCGATACATGTTGGAGAGACACATCCATCATTATAGAAAACAGTTCCAGCCTGCCACGCTTACCCTCTTGACAGAAAATATAAAGAACTGAGTAATCAGGATGTGCTTGCTGTGGACCCACCATACCATGTGGGAATGTGCCCAGGTTCCCATGACTGGTATCTAGTTCCTCTCTCCAAATTTCTACAGAGAACAAACTTTTAAAAAACGACATTAATGTCTCTGGAGCTGAGGCCCTAATTCCTTGGAGACATCATGTGTTCATTGTCTTGCATGACCACGGGTGAGGTACTGGAAAGACTCGACTGCACCCACATGCCAGTGACTGGAAGCCACTTTTGTATGAAGATCAAGCTTTTGACATGTGGTCTGGGCTGGATTACAGGATACCCAGTTTTACAGAGTTCCAGATGGTCTTGTGTGGTAGAGTCAAGTGGTCATCAGTTCTAACAAAATGTGGATATACAGTCATTACACAGAGAAGACACATCTACTCAGAGAGAAGATGGTGGATAACTCAGAAATAAACCAAGTGATTTTTTATTTGATTTTAGAAATGCATTAAATGACTTGGTGGGATGTTCACTTATGCCAGAGGCCTTGTGTTGGTTATCACGTGTAAGGTAGCACACGTGACCTCCTCCGAGGCACCAGACATCTCAGCAGTTCAAGGAGTTGCCATGGTCTTGGGATTCACAAAGAGAGCTCTGCTTCATCTGTTCCTGTTTGTCCTGAGATAGTAAAACACACACACACACACACACACACACACACGCACACGCACACGCACACGCACACGCACACGCACACGCACACGCGCACACACACACATTTTTGTTCATTTTTTTAAAACCTGGAGACATGATGAAAATGGAATGGAAATGTTCAAATTAGGAAAGCTACACTGTGCTCCTAAAAGCTAAATTCACAGAGGAAAAAAAATGGTGGTCAGGAACCAGCAACAGCAAGATAAACCCAAACTTCAGGCACCATGAACCTGAAGACAGATTTGACTTGGCTCAGAAGTAATTCTGTCTTGGATGCAAGCATGTTGATGTTGCCCTAGCCTGTGGATAATAATAATATATGATATATATAGTGATGACCATGCTTGGGATTTTTTTTCACAAGATGACCACCCTGCCCCTGAAGGGTGGATGGTCTGGAACTGGCCTGATTAACATTCACTGTCAGCACAGGTTGTCACGCTAAGGTGATATTCCAGGATGCTGGAGCCTGTCTTGAGCAGCTGAGGGTAGCTGTGAGTGTCCTGCTGCTACGTTCAGAAGATGCCAGGCAGGCGACAGCAGAGTGCCCCCGCCCTCCACTGTGGCTCACTTGGGCACTGTAACACTCACCGTGGGATATACTGAAACATCGCTGTGTAAATTAGATCTCATGGGGAAAAAATGCCAGATTGTGCATATGGTTTCCTGGAGATGGGAATTTATATACTGTTCCCCTTTCATTTCACGGTGAAATGTTGAGTCAACAACACAGGTTTACAGATAGTTGGCTCAGCTAGTTTAGTGTCTAGAAAGTAGAAGCAGTTTGATGGAGTAGAAAGCACATGGTCTCTAAGCCACAGAGGCTGACGCTCAGGTTCTGTGTTCCGCCCTGTGTGGCTTCAGGTCACTGTACGTCCTCTCAGAGCCTCAGTGTGGAGCCTGAGAAGTGAGTGTGACAATTACCCCAACCATGCGCTGTGACGATGAGCTCACACAGGACAGCACACACTGAGAGCACCTAGGGTCTCCCAGGGCATCTGGTAGCCACTGCCCCTTCCTCCTGTCAGCCCATCATCCCTTTCAAGAGGGCATTGTGTCCAGAGAGTTCTGTACCACGGCTGTGGACTTCAGATCATAAAAGGGGAGAGGGGTTTCTTTGAGTTGTTTCTTTGGATAGAAAATTTGTTGGATCTAAGACTTTCCCACCATAGCAATCACTCTGTACAGCCAGGTGGGGATAGCACTGCCGCAGAGCATCTAAGCGACTTCAGACTGAACTGCCCAGAGAATGCAAAAAAACGTCCTTCTATTTCCTTAAATCATTCACCTGTCTTGACTGCCCCGTTCCCACTCCCATGGTTGTTTGCCAGTCCAGTCATTACTTCACTACTGGAGTTCTAAATCTAGTTTTCATGATTAAGTGGAAGACATTAAAGAAAACTCGTCTACAATTCTATAAATCACATCGAAGTAAAATTCTGTCCTCCTGAGGAGTCTAGGGGTTAATAATGTCGTAATGAGAAATGTAGTCATTGACGTAACATATCCAAAGTTCATATGCAAGTTCAGGAATCCAATCAGTGTCAGCAGGCAGGAAAGACAGACGAGAAAGAACGACTTAAGACAATATGGGCCTTTCATTGGGAACTGGGGCGGCAGAGAGGGGTCTCTGTAAACCCTGAGCCTGCCATCTGCTTACAAGTGGGGGTGGTGTTAGGGCACAAAGGGAGCAGGGAAGGAGGCTGAGGCATGTCCCTCTGGCTCTCAGTCAGCCGTTGCTAGAGGTAACCACCGAGCCTCAGTCAGTGTCAGGTGACGAGCAAATATTTCTCCTAGCAATTCCTAGGGTCCCTCAAGGCAAGAAGGGCAGGGGCTAGAGAAGCACGTCACTTAACTTCTGCAATCAAATGACCGCGGTTGCAGGAAATGTCACATTCCAACCGAAATGGAAGAGCCTTTCAGCAGGGCATGGTCCTGGACGATACAGAGAAGTACAGGAAACTCTGGGAGAGCAGTCTGTCAAGCCTGAGGCAAGCAGAGGCAGGAAATCACCTGGTTCTAGAATATTCTAATGGCAGCATGGAAGCAGGAGGAGAATAAAGGCAGATGACTTGAGCTCACCGGGGAAGGGATGTTCATCGCCTTGCAGAGCCTCCCTCTCCTGACTGATCTCTGAGCATAGGTGACCAGGCTCGTGGCAGGAGCATGGCGGCCCTCCCTCCAGGTCTGGAGCACTTTCAGACAGGTGGGTGGGTAGCCGAGGACGCTAGGAACACAGAGCTGGGTGTTTGCTCCTGTGCTAAGGGTATTGGGTTGCCTTCCTCTGATCTAAAAGAGAGGAAGCCTGGCTTCCATGTGGGGGTTCTGATGATCTTCCTTCTGCTGAAGTGAGGTGACACTGGTCTCGGTGCCTGGTTTCTGGGGGCCACTCAGGATGAGTGAGTTGCCATCCTCGGGGGCAGGATTCTGAGACAGCATTGGGAAGAGCCATGGGCCAGTGATGATCTGTGCTCTTCCCTCTTCCTCCCTAGATGACTTCTCGGGCCTGGAGACTGACACGGCACCACCCACGGAAGAGGACTATGTTGTGTATGATGACGGTATGGAGCTGATCCCAAAGCACACGCTTCGGTTTTTTGATCGCCGCAAAGTCTTATTTTAGTTATAAGTGTTTGATCCCGATTGCATTTTCTTCTCTGGGACGGTGGTGGTAACTACCCCCTCTCCTGAGTCAATCTCAAATTCAGATCGGATCTAAAGGAAAGCAGGCAGCTTGCGGAGCTGGCACCACTTCCAAACCAGTCCCTTTGAATGCCCTTGCTGCCACTGCCAGACTTTCCCATCAGCAGCAGCTCTGTTGGCAAAACCACGTGGTTTAGTTCAGCATGGAGCCTCTTAGTTCTTCCTCACCCTTTCCTTTTCCAATTAAATAACAGATGCAGCTACAGATGTTTTGATCCCTTATCATAAAAATCAATGGTTTTCAAATGGTTAATTTCCATATTCCCAAAATGCCCCTGACCCAGCTACAGCAGCCCCCTTAAGAAATGGCAGCTGCCCTTGGTCGTTACAGGGCCCTGGAGTTGTCTGGTTTCTTCTGTAATTACCTCTACAGTTGAGAAGTTCCCCTTGGAGACTTGCCCAGCTTGTGTGGACCTTTGCGGTCCAAGCTTAGGACAGCCTTCCATTCATCTGCCGGTGTCAGGTGTCTTGAGCCATGATCTGGTGAATGATGTTGCCTTTGATGTTTTGTTCATTCATAATTAAGTTGGGAGACTTGTCGGGCCTGCAACAGTCAGCTGGGTAGCTGGGTAGAGGCGTGCAGATTGAAGAGACAATGAAGAAGACAGAAAAGAGTCGAAAGGTCTGCTGATCAATGCCAACAGCCCCGAGTTTATTTCACAGGCAGCTTATATACAGTTTTGAGGGACAGAGGCAGAACAATGCACAGCGCAGACATTCAGCCACTATCCATCCTGCCTTGCGTCAAGGAGCAGGCAGTTTCATTTTCTATCTCAATGTACCTCTGGCTGGCATCAGCAGCCTGCATCTAGCTAGATAGTGTGTTCCTTCTTGTGGGCTAATCAGGACTTTCTCACAGCCCTTCAAGGAGGCTCTGTGGGCTAATCAGAACTTTTTCTCACATCCTTGGAGCAAACAAGCTTGAACTCTATTGACTCAGAATAGACTTCAGATTCAAACTGGGAAACTGAGTCAGTTGTGGGCTCTCACAGAGACTCTGTGACTTAACCCATTGCAGTTTCCAGATAAGGACTGACCTGAAAGAAAAACATCAGGTGTTAGAAAGCCCAGAAAGATTCCTCAGCACCTTGGAAAACACTGTCTTTCTTACTGTCTTTGAGCAGCTGGAGGGGATCAGTTTTACTTTCTCTTTTAAATATTAAAAGATTAGTTTCTTTTAGAGCTTTAATCCCAGTCCTCTCCCCCAAAAAGTCTGTACCTACATTTAAAAAAAATTTCATTTTTTAAATTTTATGTGTATGTGTTATAGCTAAGTGTGTGTATATATACACCACTTGAGTGCAGTGACTCTGGAGGCCAGAAGAGGGCGCTGGATCCCCTGGAGCTGGAGTTACAGGCAGTTGTGAGCTGCCTGATATGGGTGCTGGGAACCAAACATGAGTCCTCTGCAAGAGCAGCAAGTGCTCTTAATTGTTAAGCCATCTTTCCAGTCCCAAGATTTTTTAAATATATTTATTTTCTGATGTGATTTTTAAAGATTTATTTATATTATACTTATTCACTAATTATGTATGTGTACATATGTGTGTTGCGTGAGTTTATGTGCATCACATGTGTGCAAGTGCCTATGGAGGTCAAAGGTGTCAGGTCCCCTGGAACTGAAGGTGTAGAAGGTTGTGAGTCACCTGCCATGGGTGCTGGGAACTGAATCCAGGTCCTTTGCTTGAGCAGTAAATGCTTTAAACCACTGAGACATGAGAGACATCTCTCTCGCTCTGATGTGATATTTGTTTGTTTGTTTGTTTGTTTTTTGAGACACGGTTCCTCTGTGTAGTTTTTGGTGCCTGTCCTGGAACTCACTCTGTAGACCAGGCTGACCTCAAACTCACAGAGATCTGCCTGCCTCTGCCTCCCAAGTGCTGGGATTAAAGGCATGCGCCACCACCGCCTGGCCTCTGATGTGATCTTTTATAGCTTTAAAAGGAAAAGAAATTCAGGTAAGGACTAGCTTTGGGCACGAACATGGTCTGGAAATTTCTGAAGGACTCTCATTTCCTGTTCCCTAAACTTCATTTTTGTGGGTATATGTATTTCTTTGTTCTTTCTCTCTCTTTATTAATATGCAGCTGCATATAGCAGTTGGTGAGGGGGTGTGTGTCTGTGTGTATGTGTGTGTGTGCAGAAGGGGGATATGTGTGTGTATGTGTATGTGAGTGTAAATGTGTGTGTTATGTGTGGATGTCTTTGTGTGGTATGTGTGATATATGGTACAGTTGTGTGTATGCTGTATGTAACATCTGTATATTTGCATGTGGTATGTGTATATCTATGTATGTGAGTACGGTATACATGGTATCTAGGTGATGTGTGGTGTCTGTGTATATAGTATAGCTGTATGTGTGGTGTAGTATGTGATACATATATGTGCATGTGTATATGTATATATAAGTAAGTGTATGTATATTGGGTTATGTTGTAGGGGGTAGGTCTGGTGTGGTGTGTGGAGTGTGTCTGTGTTTGTGTGTATTTGTGTGTGTCTACAGTTGAATCTTAAGTATCCTTAGATTGCAATCAGTGCCTCTTTTGGTAGGACCCAATTACAAAGACTTCATTTCTTTTCAGATTA